ACAGCCACATAACCGACTGACTCACTGGTTTCTACGACAGACTGGTTTAAAAATAAGAACCCTCGAAGATCTGAGTGGGATTATAACTGTGTCTATTCTTACTTTATTCTCATTGCTCATGTTGTGCGTGGTGCAGGTACAATTTCAGCTGCATTATGATCCATCCTTGTCTTAATTCAAGGCACCTTTTATCTACACTTCACTGCAGACACCAGCCCCAGAAATACATCCATATTAGATGATTCCACACCCCATGATTTAGTCCCAGTGCCTACACTCAGTGCCAGTGCAAGAAGGAGTGTGTCCTTGGGTGTGGAGGTCAGGGTGGTGGGTGGGTGCATGAGAAATGGGTGCAGAGCATGAGAAAACAATAACCCGCTCACACAGCTGCAGAGAAACAGCAGAGCACATCTGGAACCTGCTGGTCCTGTTGTTGTCAAGGCTCAAAGTTTCCTGCAGATAACAAATATTTTGAGGAGAAGGGGATTCGGTTTCTGACCAGCTTTGAGCTCTTGAGATGTTTGGATGGATCTGGGGATGAGCGAGCTGCAGACAGCGCTACACCTACATTACTGATCAACACCAGCTCTCAGCTGCTCAGATTACCTGGTCTTGGAAAGTTCAAATCACAGCTCAGGTGCCCGATGAAAATGTTGGCATTGTACATTTCTGCAAATCATAAATACATTACATTTGTACATGTTATACGTATCATATCAACGGCTCTGAATGACAAGAAAATCACTGCTCTAGGTAGTGCTACAAAAACTCTTTCCACTTCGATAAACACGACCTCAAACCTCTTGAAACACCCAGAAGCTTGTGAAAAAACACCCTACCAAAGGTGACATACAGTCCTAACAACTGACACTGGATTTTAGTTGTGGACAGCTGCAGGCTGCAAGTGACAAAGAACTAACCAAGCTTGTGGCTGGATGTGTGGTGGATGAAATGTTGCCTATCTCCACGACTGACTCTCCGTCTTTCAGACAGATCCTTGAGACAATACCGGTCACAGCTTTAACTAATAAGCCAGTCAGTACATTTACAAGCACAGTTAAATGGAGCTACGGTTACAGCTTGACTAGACCATTTAACTGGACTACTGTCCTTGTCCCAGTATACAAGCACGGGAGGGGAGTCGATTCATTGAACTAAGTATGTGTGACTCCTCTACGATAGGTGGAGATATGCCCCCTTTCAGCTTGTTAGTATTGGACCTTTTTCCTGTTGACCTATTACATCACAGACCAAACAATGGACAAACAAGTTAGCTACGGTTAGCTAGCTGCTAACTGGTACCATGGTGGACAACTTTACAGCTCTGCACATTTGGTCCGTCCAAAAAGTCACAGCTCTGGATGTAGATTTCTCCATGTTGTTACCGGCTTCTGCTTCTCTTACACATTTAATGCTATTTGACTTCCGGGTCAAAGCCGTGATGGAAGCTATGGAGCATGCTCAAAGTGCCTCGGCCAGTTTGGGTCCAACTGACTGTATACATGCAGGAGGAATTCAACTCCTTGTCGCATTATCTGGGTGTGTTAGTCCCTGATGGATCAGCAAGCATTTCAGCAGCTGGAGGCGCATATGTAGTTGTTTTTAATGAGAATGAAGCTTTTCGTTTGCTGTTTTTGCGTTACTACGGGCCTCGCATTTCTGCACTCTAGGCGCTGTGAATTCCTCGAATTGAGAAATGCTTCACGTCATCACCACTTTTTAGATACTAATTACTGTGACATAAATAAAAAGTAAAGTTTAGAGTATGGAGGTGATGGGGTGGTTGCCTGGGAACAGTAAAAAGGCACAGCAAGCGTTTTTTTTTTTACTAGTGCCTCACGTTCTACAACCTGTAAGACACTTTCTTTGTGATCAGGGCCTCACTCCGACTGTAAGAAAGTTGATCTAGTATGATTTCAGTCTGACTAACATGTTTACATATATAGGCTATTAAACAATAAATCGATTTTCTCTGATGTCATGTGAACTTGTTGATTAAGACAGAGGTGCACATGTGAAGTCTGAATATTTGAGGAGAAAAGACACAATTACACATTTTGTGACGTCAGGTGTAACGGAAAAGGAGGCTAATATAACGAGTTGTGTAACAAATTACTGTTACACTACTGCAGGGACTAATAAATACAGTAATAAAATTACCGTTGAAAAGAGCAATGAGTAATAAATTGCATTCTTTGAGTAGTGAGCCCAACACTGCTTGCAGACATAAAGGGGAAAAGAAATACTACGCTTGACATCGAAACAGTTCATATGGTCACAAATCATCAGAATTCATTATCTGGAAGCCAGAAATATCTACTGGCACTCTCAACAGTGTGTGGGACTCACTGACTGATAGACCAACACAGCCAGAAACCATTCCTGGAGTACAGCTGACATTATAGCTAAAAATATGAACGATTCACATCCATTTATTTATGCCTTTTAAATAATATTCCCTGTTAAAGCAAAAGGTTTAGTAAGAGCAGAGCCCTTTCTTTAACTGGCAGTTTGCAGTTAACATTAATCCAACTCCAAACTCAAGATAATCATAAAAATATATACATACACTTACCAGCATGTGTTTCCTCTGGATAATTCAAAGGTGACAGCAGCAAGCTCTCAGCTGATGGAACTACTTCATTTTCTTCCAGTATTTACAGCAGTGGCATTTTAATGTGTGTGTGTTTACCCTCATATGACTAATACATGTTGAGTGAAGTAATTCACTTATTTAATCGAGCGACATCACTTTGCTTTTTTGCTGTGCTGCTTTCAGACGCCTTTTGCAAGTTATTTAAACCTGTGACTCTTGAGCAAATTGGTGCGAAGCAAAGAGCAACTTCATAAGACATGTCCCACAAATTGCAAATAAACAAAAAAGACTTAAAAAATTATTTTTAAAAAAATAGGGGGAAAAGAAAAAAGCTAAGGAAGGAATATATTTACAATATTTATTATAATTACATTTTAAAATTATGTTACAGAATCATTATAAATTTTAAGCACTCTCTCCAGGTCATTTAACTTGTTTGTTTGTTTTAAATTTTGTTTTGTTCTTTTTAATTTTTTTTTATTAGTATTATTATTACATTTTTAATTTATGTTACAGAATTATTATGATTTTTAGGTATTCTCTCCGGGTTATTTTAACTTTCTATCTTTATATTTCTTTTACTTTTGTTTTTTTTATTATTTTTATTTTATTTATTTATTTATTTTATTATTATTATTTTTTTAATATTTATTTGTTTTTAATTTTCTCTTTTTGCTAATTTCTCCCTAATTTGTTTGGGTCATTTCTTCTTTCATTGCTCATTCCCTTCTTCACATATTTTTAAAAGAACTCAAGTCAATCTGCTCGGGTTTCAGAGGGTTAATAAACAGAGCCAACAGACAGTAATAATGGAGGAAGGTTTTCAGATGGAGCTCAGATTGTTTTCCAAAAGAGCTTAATGCACTTTGACAGGAGTTTATGCTCAAATAGAATTGAAAGCTGTAAAATACATTTAAAAAGTTATGTATGAATGTGACAGATTCAGTATATTCATCTTGTAGACTGTTCATTCATGTTGGAGCTGCTGTATAGCTGAGTGTAGGGCGCCACCTGCAGGGTAGAGGCAGCAGTGCGTGTACAGCGTGTGTGAATGTGAAGAATGGCACTGATTATTGGTTATAAACTAGATAAATAGACTTCCCATCTTTATAATGTTTTACTTTGTTAACCCTGTATGTGTTATTTAAAGTCATATGTTAAGTTATGTTTTGTGTTTATTGTTGGAAGATTCCTGAGTTAGTTAAAAGAAGAAGAACGAGTAAAGCCACAGCCGATGCATTAAAGACAATATAGACAGAATTGTATTAATTGTGTTCAACATACTTTTTCAGCAAGTGTTTTTTGTCTACAACATGTTTTACGTTTGACAAGATGAAATGCAACAAACAAAACTAAAAAGAAAAAACAAAATAACCAAACTAACTCAAAACAAGAATGTTCCTCCTGTTTTAACGATTAATGTTCACTTCTTATCTGTACATTAGCAGACTGGACAACACAAACAGGACAATGCTAAGAGTATAGCTACAGATTCAACAAACAAACAAACAAAAAAAAATGAATAAATATTTCAATATTGTAATTGGAAAGGAAGACAATCAAGGAGGAATGGGATCTCAAATAAGAGAACTTCACACACAATACATAGTATGAGGTCACTCTCCAAGGACTTCTACCCCCGAACACCAAAGTTTCATTTTCATTTATATGGTGTCCATATTTTATCATATATGTCCAGCCTTCCTTTGGTTTTATAAAATAAATAATCAAGGGGGACATAACTTGACTTCTCTGACTGGGGTAAGAGGCCCTCCAGCTGACAGCAATACATTTCAGCAAGTGTGACAATTAACCGCACCCACAACAGCATAATAATAATAATAATAATTTTATTCTATCTATCTTATTGATTTATTTATTTAACAGGGACAGTGCACAGCTACTTAGCTGCACCACAGTTAGCTATAAGCTCATTTTCGTCTGTAGTCCCTGGGCAGGAGACAGAGAATAATTTCTCTGCTAAATGACACTATTACATTAAGAAAAAAAAACATAATTACAAAATAAAACATATTTATGACACAGCAGCTTCAGCAATAACAACATCAAATCACTGCAACAATAAAAGTAGCAACAACAATAAAACTACAACACTAATAATAATCTCAAACAGTTGTGATAACATTTAGCCAAAATGTACATGTTGTCAGGTTGTGCCCCTAAATTTAAAAAATAAAAAAAATCTATTAAAAATACAACAACTTTTAATTTTGCAAGTTTAAAGTTATGTACATTAAATGTAGGCTGTGCAGCAGGATCATAAGGTTTGTTATGAAATACAGTGAATTAACAGTGTTTTTAAAGTAAAAATATTTGTCAAGTTCACGTTCCAGCTGTTCCTCGCGTTGCCGTGACAACATGACGTCACACCGGTTTCCTCCCACTCTGTCCAGTTTAGTTTCAGTTTACTTGTCCTGTGTGTCGCAGCTTGGTTCCTCAGGATTGTCTCGTGTTTGCAGTTTGAAGTCTCTCCAGGTCCACAGGTCGGTGAGCTCTGACACTCTTCACTGTGACTCGTTAATGACTCTGTGTTAGTTTAGCTGCAGGGGAGACTTGTTAAAGTTCCGACAGTCTGTGACTTGTGGAGGAGGGTCAGTGAAGGCCACACACACACACACACACACACACACACGCTCCTCTAAATCCTCTCAGGAACAAAGAACAAACCACAGCTCGGTTTGTGACGCACAGATTGGAGACACTCTTCACATGTCGCTCTGAAAGTTTAATCGAGGATTTGAACTGGAAAAACAAAGTTAGAAGTTCACGCATGCGCACGGGAACGTCTTTTCAGTAAGCGAGGGGCTTTCCTGGTTACTTGTTAATAAATTTGGAGTCACTTATTGTTAAGTTAACTGTGTAACGTGTGTGTAAATACCGTGACTGCACGACACAGTGTGATCACATGATGGAGGCTGAGCTTTATATAACGGTCTCTGTGCTCGTGCTCGTCACCGTGTGGCGCAGGACGCAGGAGGCCGCAGTCCGCTTCGTGTCAGTGCGCTGGGCCTGGAGACCTGTTTGAATGGAGTGTAATCTGTCCGCTCTCTGCTTTATCAGACTCTCCTGATCTATATGTGTTTTGTTTTTAATTCAAATTTCAGGTCATACAAACAATGTGTGGCACATGCAGACATTTGGCATGTAATAGAACACATAATTACATCAATATAATGTAGGGTACATCAAGTCTTGTCAGGATTATTGCAAAATGAAAATAAAAACAAAACAAAAGAGAAGTAAAGGGTATAAGACACAGTAAATTCCCACAAGTCACTAAGGTACTGCAGCATATAGTCACTTTTCTTATGTTAGTTTTAAAGTATTTATGTACAAATCAAAATCTACCAGAAATACGTGAAAACTTGGCAGGATTTGGACATTCTCATTTTATGTAAGTAAAATTTGCCAATTAGTAGCATACGGTTAATTACAAAGGACAAAGACTTATCATTACATATAATAATATCCTTCAGACTGACTGTGATGATATGTCCAGTTTTTTCATAGATATATTTCTCAAAATGCCTCCAAAAGACAGATGACACAGGGCAAATACAGAATAAATGTGCAATTGTCTCACAAAAAGTGCATTTATCATCCAAGTCTGTGAACCTGGAAATTGTGTTGTTACAAGGATAAATGTGTAGTGTGTAGTATTTTGAACTGAAGTTCTCTTATTTTATTTGAAATACAGAATTGAAAGGGGCACAACTATGTTTTACGCCACTTAATATCGACTAATTGTGAATTCCAGAAGAACTTTCCTCTGAGAGAGATCTTATTATAGCTATGAAGTGCATTCCTAACATGCTTATTGGTAAATCTTCTATCGAGTATATCAGTCCCTCTAATTGTGAGAGAAGGTGTCTGAACCTCAATCTTTTTGATAAGTTAAGTGACACTTCATTAACCCGAGCGTATTCTGAGGAATGGCCTTTACAACAGAAGCAAATTCTTTGAATTTGACTGGAAAGGATTTTGTTTTTAAGAAATTTTCATAACTATAAAGATTTCCATTATCTTATCTTATCTTCCATTATCTATCTTATCCAAATAAATCCGCAACAAAAATTAAACCCCTTTCAAGCCAGCCTTCCTTATATAAAGTCTTGTTTTTGACAGTAATATTGACATTGTTAGGGTTGTAATCCTAGGTATTCTTCTTCTTTCTTCTTTTTCTTCTTCTTCTTCTTCTTCTTTCTTCTTCCGAGGAAATCATACTTCCCATGGGTGAAAACTCGCCAAACTTTGCACAAAGGTCCAGTCTCATGCCAGATATCCTCAGCTGTAAAAACAGGCCAATAGTCCTGATGGTGGCGCTACAGCAAGCGTCTAAAGTTCAAAACTTTGAAAATTCATAACAAATCAACCACACATGCTACAACTTCACAACTTTCATCAAACTGTAGCCCCAATACTGAAGAAACTTTTGTACATTTAAACCTATTAAAAATGATGAAGTTCATCACCCTGTTTTTTTTT